CAGTGTGGAAAGAGGTGTGTAAGTGAGGGATCAAGCCTGTTGATTGGCATGTTGTATTTGGATCGAATAAACACTCTTGGCTCACTTAATTTTTGGGAGAGTGATCTCTGAGTAGAGAACTTGGGCATGCAGGAAAAAAGGGTGGGGGAGAAGATTAAAATAACCTGGTTGCTGTTAACTTTAGGAGTGCGACTGACTGAGTTGCACGACTTGTTCCTCCCTAAGGCGACACAGGTGCGCAGAGTTATTTTTCTTTAATCGCTCACATAAATTAAAATTTATTCCTTTGCATCAAAATAATTAAATAAAGCTACACCCTGTGCCTTTTATTGCCAGATAATATCTTTGAACCTCTGGCTCAGTCTTGGCTATGGGCTGCAAGGTATTTTCCAGGGTGTGCTTTACCCACCCTGTGGTTGTGCTAAATCCTAGTGTTCTAGACAGAGAAAATACCTGATAGTAACCAGAATGTATCTGAAGTTTTAATCATAGTGCCAACTAGCTAATTACCTTCTCCAGGTCTCCTCTTAAGTCAACCTGGTCTCCTTTCCAACTGTGAATCATACTGAGGTATCAGGGCTTTCCATTGTGTGCTAACCAACTACAACCACAATTGGGGAAGAGAAGTAGTTGGGGGGGGGGGGGGGGGGGGTTGGCAGGGAAGAAACAAAAACCAGCATCAGCCATTTCTAATCCCAGGATATGTTCCTTGTGCAGTTCACATTTTGTGCATCCTACTGTAACAGTTAAACTAGCTGAAGTTTGGAATAGGCTTCTGAATATTTCATAAGCTCTTTAAAATGACTTCTCCATTCTTTTTAAGTATACCTTCTTGATCTACTCTTTATATTAGAAATGGTGTACTCACCTTTGTAATTGCTTGAACATATGCCTGAAATAATTTAACTCCCTCAATAAAAACCACTGAGTTGCTGAACTTGCTTATTGAAAGGTCGCAGGGTTGAATCCGGGGAGCGGCATGAGCTCCCACTGTTAGTCCCAGTTTCTGCCAACCTAGCAGTTTGAAAACATGAAAATGTGAGTAGATCAATAAGTACCAGTGAAGGGAAGGTAACGGTACTCCATGCAGTCATGCCGGCCACATGATCTTGGAGGTGGCTACGGACAACGCTGGCTCTTTGGCTTAGAAATGGAGATGAATACCAACCCTGAGATTCGGACATGACTGAACATAATGTCAGGAGAAAATCTTTACCTTTATCTTTACCTAATAAAAATGAATGTATAATCTGCTTTCCTACATGCCATTTCAAATCTCATGTCACTTGAAAAAAACCCAACAAACCCGATCCGCTTTTTATATTATTTGAGCATCTGCCTCATGTCATCTAACCACTATCAATAAAAAGTACAATTCAAACACTCAGGCTATCTCCCTTTACAGCAGGGCCATACCCACCTCTATTCTGTTGCTGTAGGAACACACAATGACTTCAGACTGCAGGAAAGGGGATTCCACCTGAACATTAGGAAGAACTTCCTGACTGTGAGAGCTGTTCAGCAGTGGAACTCTACCCAGGAATGTGGTGGAGGCTCCTTCTTTGGAGGCTTTTAAGCAGAGGCTGGATGGTCATCTGTCAGGGGTGCTATGAATGTGATTTTCCTGCTTTTTGGCAGGGGGCTGGATTGGATGGCACATGAAGTTTCTTCTGTCAGAGTTTTATATTGTTTAGGTCATTTCTTAAGTGAAAAATGGGTAAGTGATTGCAAGAATCATGTCCAGTCATTGTATGACCAGCAACAGTCAAGCCACCTGTGAAACTTAGCTATTACAAATTGAGAGACTGAGAATGTAGAGAGTAGAGAAGAGATAGAGAAGAGTATGAGCAGAGAATGCTGATGGTGAGACTGTGAAGAAAGCAAGAGCTAGAGGAAGAGGAATAGATTCCTATAAAAACTTAAGGAAGGTTTGCTGGAATATTGGGATCGATGGATTGAAACTGTTATTTGTGACTATTGCATAAACATTTACTTTATTGGAAGAAAGTTTGTCTTCTGTGGATTGTATTATTTTTCTTAACAGGGCGCAGCTTCCGAGAAGGGGGTTTGAATGCTTGAAATCAACCCCAACTATAAAGCAGCAACACCATAGCTGCAACATCTTCCAACGCTATGATTCTACAACATATGGCTCTTTTAGCAGTAAAAGTGCTTCTATTAGGCTTTGATACCATTAAAAAACTACTCCACAGTTTCTAAGAAAAACTGTTAATTTGCCACATAGGTCCATCATAGAAGCAGAGTGATATTGGGTTTACGGGGGCAGACTGGTGGGTGGCATGTTTCATCCAGTAAATGTTGCTATTTTTACAGAGCACTCGGTGCTACTTGCTGGGGTTTAGTATTAACACCTCATTTATTAATAATGACCATTTGGGCTGCCATGCACTCCTAGGCTGAGCTCAGCCAAGAAATCAACAGTGAGGGTATGAAATATTGTTCTCCTTGGGACCACTGCTTTTGGTTTCCTGGCCCAGCATAACCATGGCAAAGCCCTACTGGTGAAGTTGCAGACACTCAGACATAGGATCAATAGTGAGATGATAGCCCGTTTGACTCCCTCACTCACCATAGATCTCATAGCTTGGCTTGGATGGGTGTATGTGGTGGTGAAAGCTCAGAGAAGAATTAAAAATAATAGTGTAGGGTAAAGAAGGCAACAGTGGGACCCCCAAGGAGAAATAGTTTTTTCTCCTTCTCCTGGAGGCTGCTTCCCAGTCACGGTTAGCCTTAAGCACTTCACCTTCTTCATCTGGAGGTAGGGCTCATCCCCACTAAGCATTGCCATTGCTTTTCTGGGCAGGCATCTGCTCAACAGACCTTGACTGGTCAAGTTGCAAGTACCTTACTATGCAATCAGAGCCCCCGGTGATGCAATGGGTTAAACTCCTGTGCCGGCAGGACTGGAGACCGACAGGTCGCAGGTTTGAATCCGGGGAGAGTGCAGATGAGCTCCCTCTAACAGCTCCAGTTCCTCATCAGGGACATGAGAGAAGCCTCCCACAAGGGTGGTAATACATCAAAACATCCGGGTGTTCCCTGGGCAACGTCCTTGCAGACGGCCAATTCTTTCACACAAGAAGCAACTTGCAGTTTCTCAAGTCGCTCCTGACATGACCAAAAAAACCCAAAAAACAAAACTAAAAACAAAATTTAAAAAAACGATGCAATCAAGGTAGTAGCCGGATAAACCCTCATGGCTGGACTTTTAATTGAAATATCTCATTTCTTAATTATTTTGCTTGGAATACTATATAGTAAAACCTGGAAAAGGAATAAAAACTTGGGTAAAATCACCATCTTTACTATCTTAATTCTATTTTGTTATATCCCAGTTCCACTTTTTTCCAATTTAGCATTTGCTTGTTAACTTTTTTCCCATAATTGGGTATAATTTATTTGTATTATATTGTTAAGATTCATGGGAATATAGACTCCCAGATATTTCAGCTTCTTTTTGCCCAATTTTGTGTCCAGAATGGTTTGAACTTCTTTTAACTCTTTCTGGGGTAGATTATTGTCTAGAATCTCTGATTTTCCAATATTTATGGCTAGACTTGAATTTTTTTTCAAACTATTATTATTATTATTATTATTATTATTATTATTACTTTCTTTACCGATTCCTCTGAAGAACCTAGTAATACTGTGAATAAATTTATTTTGATTTTTTGTCTCAAATCAAGTACCCTTTGATTTTTTAATTCTTCCTGATGAAGTTGACTAATTGTTCTGTTGCTATTGTTAATAGGATTGGTGAGAGTGGGCACCCTTGTTTTGTGGTTCTTCTAATTTTGATGGTTATTGATTTGGAGCCATTAATTACTATTTTGCCTGGTGGTCTTTATATAGTAAATTACTTGACAAAACTTTTCTCCCAATTTAAAGTCCTTGCATACTTGGTACAAATATTGGTGGTTTACTGAATCAAAAGCTTTATATACATCCAATTTTATTATCAATAATTTCTCTTTTTCGTTTGCTGCGTGGTTGACACAGGGGAGATCAGTGTTTCTGAATACAATTTCAGACCAGTATAATATGAGTTGGTGATGCTCTAATGGGGTGAATCCAGGGCAGCTCTGGGGCAGAATAGTCAAACAGTAGCTGAATTATTTTGGTGATGCAGACAACCCCCAAGTCACATTTGTCCAAAACATCTATAGGAAATGAATGGTATCCTTTGTTGAGCATTCTCAACCCTTACACCCGCTCTTTAAATACATATATGCTGTTTGGTGAACCACTTGAGCTGTGATGTGTCAGCTTATATAAACAGTTCTTTGATGTGTGCCCAATTGTTCCTGGAAAAGTATCCATTTGCGTCTTCAAAGGACAAGTATGTTGAACTGTTCAAAAGAGTTGTCCACAAACCAGCATTTAAAAGCATAGGCTTGTTTATTCTGAAGTTGTAGAATAAGAAAAACACCAAAGTCTTTTTTAAGTGCAGCACCTTGAAGCTTAAATACAGCACACTTTTTACAATTAAGTTTGTGATGGTTTTAAACATTAATTGCTAGCATGCTTACTTATCTATTCTAGACACTAAAATGGATAAGTAAGCACACTAGTAATGTTTATAACCCAACTGTGACATCATGATAGTTATTAGTGACATGTGAAAAATGGTCATGTAAATAAACCCTTAGTACTCGTGTATCTAGAAAAAAATTCTGCCAAATTGCATCAACTCAGATATAGCATTAATCATTCATGCTTTATACAACACATGTGATTACTCTGATAACATAAGAGTACTGATTACATGATCCAAAATCTAATGGCATAAAACAAGGACAAATCCAGAAGTGTTTAACTATACTGAGAAGCTGGGAAAAGGAGGCAAGTACCAGGAAGAGAATTGTCATTGTCATTAATAAGATTTAAAAAAAATCTATGTCATGTATTGATAGGCGAAGTGCAAATGCAATGTTCCATAACATTTCAGGTTTCTGAATTCTTTCTATTTTATATTTAAGCTCAAAGACATGTCATCACATATATGGAAGATGCTGTGAGCCAGCTTCTGGAAAGCAGAGAAGATATTAGCCAATATGGTATTGCCAGATTCTTCACTGAATAGTAAGTACTTGGGAAATATTGCGAAAGGAACAGCTTGGAATGACTCCTGGACACAGACAGCAAATGCCAGATGGACATGCCTCAATTAAAGTAAACCATGAAGTCCAGTTCAGCTTAATGAAAACATTTATACAATTAGTTTATGGTTGCTTTACTATGAGAAATATGCAGTCATGTCACTAGTAAATATTTGGCAGAAAGTTACGTGATTTTCAAAGGAGCTGAGTATTAAATCGTTCTTTTTAAAATGATGAATGAATCTTTTCTTCCTTCCTTCCTTCCTTCCTTCCTTCCTTCCTTCCTGCCTGCCTGCCTGCCTGCCTGCCTGCCTGCCTGCCTTCCTTCCTTCCTTCCTTCCTTTCATATCTTACCTTCCAGAGTGAGATCCAATGTGGCTTCCAAGACAGTAAACTAAATATATTTGTGACAACATTTTAAAAACAATTAAAATCATTTTATAAAACATTTTAAAATAAATTTAGAAACATAAAAAGTTTTAAAACTCTATGTGGTAGCCAATGAAACCACAAAACACAGCCTTCAGGATAACATAAAAGGATTGTCAAGCTCAGGGTAGGAAGCGGGAGGGCCTTGATGCATAGGTATCATTTTGTCCCTCCTGTCAGTTGAAGAGCATGGCCCAGAAAGGATACTGGAGGTGAACAACTGGCTCCACAGATGGTGCTTCCAGAAAAACTTTGGCTTCTTGAACCATGGTCTTCAGTTTCATGAAGATGTACTTATGACAAGTGAAAGGCTGCATTTCAAAGCAGTTGGCAGGAATATTTTTTGCTAAGAATCTTAACATCTAATCAGGAAGATTTTAATCTGTGTTCTGAAGGGAGAAAGACAGTATTCTTGAGTACACCAAGTGCTGGAGATAATAGCCCAAATGTTATACAAAGACTCCTCATGCTAGGTTAAGGATTTAAGATGATTCCTTCCTGGAACAGATGACCAAACATTCAGAAAGGAGAGTTGTAGTAGTAATGGGAGATTTTAACTATCCTGATATTTGTTGGAAGTCAATCTCTGTCAGCAATATAAGGCGCAACAAATTCATCACTTGCCTTGTAGATAATTACATTGTCTAAAAGGCGGAAGAGGCAACAAAGGGGATCCAGCTATTTTAGATCTGATTCTAACCAACAGTGTTGATTTCGTTAATGGGGAGGAAGTGGTTGGGATCCTTAGATGGGAATGAGCATGTTCTCTTGAAGCTTATATGTATATATGTTTGTTTGCTGAAAAAAAAAATCCCTACACACATTTGTGGTAGATTTTCAGATGTCTCCAGGTAGTACATAATGTTTTTATTTATTTGTGTCGAGATTACCAGACTTGATTGCTTCATTTTACAAGTACATATTATTAGTTTTGCATAAAAGAATTACTGAAAAACGTCAAATTCCCTTTCTTTTTCTGGTGCAGGATCTTATCCCTGTTCTTACCATGCTATTTTTGCCTCTGATACCAAACTCTGTTAAAGAAGTTATGCTCTGAAACATATCCTTGTGTAACAGAGGTATATTTACAATTCTCCTTGTCTGAAACGACACTGCCAGAGGAGATATGAGTATGAGTAAGATTTTTGCAAAAAGCAGGATGAAGTGATGATGCGATGTATCTTGGATCGTAACCTTAGCCAGCATGGTTAGTATTATTAGTTAGTTAGAATTGAGTATTGAGGATGGTGGGACTGCAGACCAGGAACATCTGAAGGGACACAAATTTCCCACTTGTGGAGTAAATATTATTTTCATCGTTAGTCCTTGGATTAGAGAATCTGGTGAACTTTGTAACATACATAACTTTCTAATTTTTCCTTTGTCTTCTATTTTAAATAATAAAATAGACAAAGGTGACTGACTGCAATTGTGGGCTATTTAGCTTTTTTAAAATTCAAAATATTTATAATGCATAAACTTTTATGTTATTAGAATCTGGAGGATTCTAAGGAGCAAAAAAACCTTAAATTATATTATGAAGCATCCGGACTAGCCTAGGTGAAAGAATGGACAACACTAAAAGATACAAGTATATTGACATTGGAAGGACACGACTTGAGAGCAGGCAGGCAGGCATGCATACTTGTGCCATGGTAAAATAGGAATTGAGAAAAAAAATGGCAATCATTTTATATGATCGGCATTGATAAAAATTTGGGAAAAATATAAAAAAGGCTATATATATTACCTATTGAAGCAAAATCCGTTCCCTAGAGGATGAGACATGAAGAGGGAATAGTGACAAAACAAAATTAGAGAGCACGACAAAGAGAAATACCAACTGAGAAGACTGGAAATTAATTCCATTATTTCTCCCCCACCCCCCTTCATTTTCCTATTTCTTTTCAAATGCTTGTTGTGTTACCGTTCTGCTTATATTTTATTTATTTCTGTTTATGAGATGTATTTTAACTGTTTTCTATTGTTTGTTTGCTATTGTTTTATTATTGATGTGTTGTGGGCTCGGCCTCATGTAAGCCGCACCGAGTCCCTTGTGGAGATGGTAGCGGGGTATAAATAAAGATTATTATTATTATTATTATTATTATTATTATTATTATTATTTTCTTTTCTATGCATGTTTTTCCTTACCTTCACTATTCTATTTTTGGAATATATCCGACTTTGTTCTCCCCCCCCCCCCCCCCCCCCGTTCCCTGATTTGATATTGTTAAAAAGGAGCAAAAAGCTCTAATGAAAGAAACTGTTTTTGAAGAGATGGGAAGGAATTTTCTCTTGATTCCTTAATCCTTAATGTACCTAAGACAATGTGAAGATCACATTGAATAACACAACTACTGAACAGGAATAGCATAATTGCAAGAATGATGCATTTGTCTTCAGGTCAATAGGAATAAGGGAGGTTACAGCTTGTGAGAAATGACAGTGTTGGGAAATGCCATGCTGTGTGTGGCACAGGTGGCTGTTTGTGTAATGAACATTGCTGGCATTCCTAACATTCCACTTTGTTTCCCAGTAAAATCTTCCATCCAAGCAAAGACATGAAGTAGGGAATCCTTCCAGTGCCTTCTGTACAATGGGAGTGAATGGCAAATTAAGCAAAGTCACCACATTAAAAAAAATGTTTAAAATGGATGAGGGAAAGCTGCAGTTGGATGGAGGATGTGGGGTAGGGTTCAGGGTGACAGATGAACATTTCCTTAGTTAATTGCTTTATTCAGTCAAAATTAGAATTTTCCAGGCAATAGTTCAATCATTTGGCAAAGTGGGGAATAAGGGTTAACTTTTCTCATCTTCCACTTTGGTGAAAAGACAACTTGGAGAAGGTTGTTTTCAGTTGGAAAGGGCTGAGAAGCAGAAATCCCCTCAGAGCAAGGGTCCTTAACCTGGGGTCCATTGACCCCTTAGGGGTCTGTGGAAAAATTTCAGGGGGTCTATAAGCTTGAGTAGAAAAAAATCAACTTATTTTTATTTCCTCTGATTTCTAACTGAAATCTAGCATTTTCTTCTTTATTTTATTATTTATTTATTTACCACACTTATATCCCATCCTTCTCAACCCTGAAGGGGACTCAGGGTGGCCTTACAAAGGCAACAGTTTGATGCCATGTGTACACATAACATCGATACATAAACACACTGAAACATTAAAACCAACCAGTTAAAACCAACCAGTTAAAACCAACATCACATTAAACAACAATTTAAAATCACATAATTCGGGGCTACTCCGAGTTGTCAATGTTAATTTATGAATGTATTCAATCAGCTGCAGTAGTATTAATTTCATATCACATTACAGTTGTGGCATTTCTCGAAAAATTGCTTCATTTTGAAATTACCGTAGTTGTTAGACACGATGCTACATTACATGTGATAACAGTCTTGCTGTGTAGAAACTAGAGGTGTGTGATTAAAAATATGCCTATTTAAAATATGCCCACAAATATGTTTCAGATAAGGGACAAAATATGTTAAAATATTAATTGCTGGCTTCATTGGCTGCATAATATTTTATTTATTATTTTAAATGAATGTTAAGTGTTGTTTATTTAATTTATGTTTAATATCGGCTATGTTAGATGTCAATTAAGTGATTGTTTTATATTTCTTAATTATGAATTGGATCTGGCATTGAGTGTTTGCCGTCTTTTGTTGAAATCCTCCGTGAATCGGAGAGAGGGCGGAAATAATATAATAAAGTTTTATTATATTATTACATAAGAAACTGCTCACCAAACTATGTACATGTTTCAGTTTGAGATTTGCAACCCAATAAGGACATGACTGGACTTAATGTCAGGGAAAAACTTTTACCTTTACTAAGGAGCTTGGATGGCATGAGAATGTTAGATGGGTTCTGAAAAATGCAATGAATTGCCAAAATGAAAATTATACAAGTGTTTCCCATACTTATTTGAATCTCATTTGAGCGTTTATTTTGTCATTGCTGTGGGCAAGGAGGCTGTTGAAGTCATTGCATAGCTCTTCAGCACAAGCATTAGTATAAGCATAAACTGTATCTACTTTAATGTTTACGTTTTATAATTGTTAAATGTAATGATTTATGATAAGGATGAAAACACTCTCTTCTTAAAATCTCTAGCGTCTCTCACCTTCCCCAACTTCGAAATTCTTGATCTGTTTGGTTGTCTGTGTGTTTGAGTCTGGTCAAACAACCCTACAATTGTTTCCATTAATATGTAGCCAGCATAGAACACGAGTGAATGATTGTCAAAGTGCTCGGATTTTATAGATCAAGACTTTTCGAAAATGGGATTGTATTTCTCTAACACTCTTGAAGAGAGAATTTGGAATTCCAGAAGAGGTTTCTGTTGAAACAGAATGCTCCCTAGCGTCCCTGCAAAATTTGTGCAGAAGAACACTATTTCAGGTGCTGCTAGTATAATTTTCATTTTGGCAATTGCAGTCGGACATGTCATTATCCCAAGGGGATGGGACACACAGTGGGAGGAAGCAGCTGAGGCACCGCTTAAATGTTTTTGTTTTTTGCTCCTACGTGTTTCTTGC